AGCTATGCAGGAGACCTGGGTTCGATCCCTGGGTCGGGAAGATCCCTGGAGAAGGGAATGGCTACCCACTCCAGTATTTTTACCTAGAGCACTCCATAAACAGAGAAGCCTGGACAGAGAAGTCCATGGGGTTGTAAAGAGTCTGAAATGACTGAGCAACTAATACTTACACTTTTTCACACACACACACACACACACACACACACACTCAAAACCACCTCACTGCTAGAGCTCTTTGGCTTGACGTTTAAGCTTCAGTTTTTTCAGGGTAAATCCACCTCTGATTATGCTGATGCATATTTACTTACTGTCTGTCTTCTTCTACTAGGAATGTTTCAAGAGGGCATGGGTTTTTATTTAAATTCTTAGCTTCTGCAACCCACTCCTAGCATATGTAGAAATTTTGTAACTACAGTTGACCCTTTGAACAATGCATGGGTTAGGGACAACAACCCTATGCAGTGAAAACTTGCGTAAAATTTATAGTCAGGTCATCTTATCCTGGGTTCTGTATCTGTGCTTCTGCATCAGTGGTTTCAGCCAACCCCACATCTGTGTGGTCCTATGTGTGTGTGTGCTCAGTTGGGTCCGACTCTTCGCGACCCCATGCACTGTAGCCCGCCAGGCTCCTCTGTCCATGGAATTTCTCAGGCAAGAATATTGGAGTGGGTTGCCATGCTCTCCTCCAGGGGATCTTCCTGACCCAGGGATCAAACTTTCCTCTCCTGCAGGCAGATTCTTTACCACTAGCGCCACCTGGGAAACCCAGTCCTATAGTATTTAATATTGAAAAACATCCACTTATAAGTGAACCCTAGTGCAGTTCAAACCCATGTTGTTCAAGAGCCAACTGTGTTTGCGAATGTACCAGTTGGGGCTGGTACAGTTTTCCAGGTAGGGATGACCGAGGCCTGGCCTGGGTGGGGCTTGAAGAGTGGATGGGCCAAGGATGATGTCACTGAAACCTCAGAACAGTGGCTGTGACAACCCATTTTAAAGGTAAGGATGCTGAGGTCCAGGGAGGTGGCAAGTGTCCGTAAGATGTGGCACTGGGCCTAGAATCTAAGTCTGCCTTCCCTTGCCTGCTCTTGGCCTGCAGCCACCGCCCTCCCAGTCAGCTAGCACTTGCACAAGGCTCTGATGCAACCCAGTAAGGCCCATGGCGCCTCTCTTGGGGGCATCGCTGGGAAACCAATTTTGCAAGAGTTGGGTCAGGAAGCACCAGCCAGGGTGGGTCCCGGGAAGATAAGAACGGCCCGCCCCCTTGTGTGCCTCCAGGCCTTTTGATTTCCTCTCTTCCCTTCCCTTCCCTTTCCCGGAAAGCAGAGCCTGGACCCTGGCTGAGCCATGACTCACCTCCTTTCCCTCTGGCAGCCAGGCTGGGCTCCCAGGCCTGCCTGTCATTGGAAAGCCTTGCAGCCTGTGACCTGGACAGTGGGGAGCCCTCCCTGGGTGCAGTCCCTGGGTCTCAATAAGAGTAGCTGGTATGAAGAAAGGTTTCACCCTTGAGTCTCAGTCTCAGGAGGCAATGAGGTGGGGGAAAGGGGCTCCAGGAGCACTCTGAGGTCTAGGTGACTCAGATTGGCAGGTATAAGGTTGGTGTTTGCCCACAAAACCCCCTTGACCCTTGTGGAGAGGGGCGTGTGCACCCAGAGGTCAGAGCCTCAGTCACCAGGCATCCCTCAAGCAGATGTGTCCACAGTTCGGTTGGTCTCTACCGGGTTCAAGACCGGTACCCCGCTGGGCCACCTGTCCTCTCAGAGCCAGGCCACAGGGGACCTGGCCTAGGACCTCTTACAGGACAAGAGAGCCTGGGTGAGTTCTATTTTTCTAGGCTCTTGTTAAGATTTTTTTAAATTAAGAAAAACCTAAGTTGCAAAAATTGGGATAAATATTATGCCTTGCATTTTTCCAGTTTACGCATTTAAAACAAGCATACGTAATGACCTGGTGTGATTTAAATTGGAAATAAGATGAAAAAGCTAGACTGAACCTCTTGTGGGAACAGTGCAGCCCCTCAGAAGCGAAGTTTCCAGAAAGTTTAAGTCAGAATCCCACGTGGCCTTGTGTGGGTCACTTCACCTCTCCAAGGTCTCCCTTTTCTCATCTGAAAAGTAGGACTAGCAGTGGGTTTACACACCTAACGGGCTCATGAGTCAATCCCCTTGGTAAGGGCTTTACACCAACACGTAACCTAGAGTCTACACGGAGCCAGTCCTAGTGCCAAGTTTTCCATCTGCAGCCCTTCAATGGAACCCTGAGGCTGAGGTTCTGGAGCCCATTTCCCAGATGAGAAAGTGGAGGCTAAGACAGGCAAAGCCTCCAGGGAAGGGCCTCCCTTCCCAGCCTTCTCCTTCCCAGCCTGGGAAGCCTCCAGGCTGCTTCAGAGGCTGTGTTCTACCAGCCTACCTACTAAAACGTTTATCTTCCCATTACTATTGTGCTGCTGTCATTGCTATTATTAAAATGAGTATATGACAGCACTGCCCCCATACAGCTGTGAGTAGGATTAACCAAATTAATTTTAAGAGTTTAGTATAGTACCCGGCACATAATAAGCGCTCTAGAAGTGTCTGTTAAAGAAAAAAAAAGATATCCTTTAGGTCTTGGGGCCCACAGTCTTGGAGAGGCAAGGTCCAATGTGCAAGGAACTTTGTCCCGGTTTTTCTCTGCGGCCTTCCCCCCACCCAGCTCCTGCCGCGCCCTGTCCAACACAGTTAAGGAGTTAATGATTTCCCAAGCGGCGGCCCAAAAGGAGCAGGGTCTTGTGTGCAGCACACACGCACGCACACACGTGCACACACACCCTCTAGCTCTCACAACCCCCCACCCCGCGGCGGCCCCGTCCCCCCCTCGCCCCCTCCCTGCGCGGGGCCCGAGCCTCTTATGCAAGCCGCCGGCGCCCGCCCGTTCCCAGGCCCGGCTGCAGCTGCGGGCGGAGGGGCAGGGCGGGGGCGGCTCGCTGTTTGTCTAGCGCGGCCGTGCCAAAGGCGGCGGGCCCCAGACAGCCAGGCGCCTCCGTACACCTGGGGATGCTCAGGTTAAATAGCTCCGCATTCCTCGGGCCCAGCTGATGGAAACGCTCCCAGGCCGCCGCCGAGCCGGCCTCCAGATGGGCTGGGCCTGGGCCAAAGGGGAAAAGAGGGAAACGTGGAAGCCAGAGTGTGCCTGCACGGGGGAGGAGGTGGCCCGCCTACCCCCAGCTCGGCACAGCCCCTTCCTCCCCTGGAAAAGGGCCCTGCCGCGAGGGGGTACGCGCGGGGACACGCCCACGGCCCGGTGGGTGGGCGGCTGGGAGGGGGGCGCGAGGGAGGGAGTGCACACGTGTGACTCTGAGGACACTCCAAGGACGTACAGGCGACAATTAATAATGATAATTTACAGCTATCAAACACTGCGTGCTAAGTGCTCTATTTCATTTATTCTCTACAGCAGTTCTGGGAAGTTGATGCTGTCAAACAGCAGCCTGTAGTGAGCTGGGTGGGCAGTAGGAAGGCACCCGATTTACCTCCAAATACTGTTCCCTTTGATAAAGTCTAGAATATGCTCGGGGAGGAGGTGGTACCTGGCTTAGTGCTCAATAGGCAGTCTTCATTGTTATTGTTATTCGCAATCCTGCTGTTAGCTCCACAAGGATCCACAAAATCCTTTATGTAAACGGCTGAGAGTAGAGTCAGGCTCATGGTGCTAGGTACTATTTATTTTATTGACAAAATATATTAACAGTCCTTGCCCTCTCTGGGACAAGTTCTTTGCCCTTTCTGGGGCTGTTTCTCCCTGTGTAATACCTGGCAGCTGCCTGGTAGGGGTACTGACTGTTGGTGTCCCCAGGGGTCTAACAATTGCCCAGAAAGTTGGTACTTAAACTTCGGAGGAAGGGTTTGCCTATGAAAAGCTACCTACCCCTCACCGCTATCCCCAGATCAGCAGAGACCCAGGAATGCCAGCCAGTCTACAGAACACATCTAGACACCCAGTGCAATTCTGCAGTCCCCAGACACTCACACCCAACCATCAAGCCAGATCCAGGCAGAGGTGCCACCATGCATTTCAGCAGAGCCCACAAGCCCAAACAGCTGGAGTTGGCTCACTTATCTGCAGAACACATGCGCTCACATTTGCCCTTCTGCACACATCCCCACGTGCATCTTCATCCACACCCCCAGGCCTGCACACCAACAGATGACCCAGCCCCTCAGGGTAACTACCAGTTCACTCATGTCACACAGGCCCAGACACTCATGTGCACTCCCCCATGAGTACAAACCCACACACAGGTCCAGGCAGATAGGTCCTTGCCAAGGACACCATTTTCCAGCTCAGGAGCTGTGGACTTACTCGCCCACTCCTCCTCATTGCCCACACAGGAGCCCTGGGCTGCTGGCACAGCCTGGCCAGGGTGAGGGGGCAGAGTCCAGACCCAAGAGCAGGTGGCCCAGCAGCTGTGACTGGTCTGGTCCTGCCAACTTGCTCACCCACTTGGACAAAGCTGAAGCCCCAGGGCAGCCTGCTGGGATCCAGGGTTTGGTGGCCCAGGGGGGAGGCGCCTCCTCCTGGGTAATGGGGCAACTTGGAAGTCTTGTCCCTGACAGGCTGAGGTTCTCACTACCCCCATTTAAGCCAACATGCAGGTCCAGTGACCCGGTTCTCCCAAGTAACAGGCTTGTTGATACTCTTCAACCCAGAGGGGGCCTTGGCAGGTTGATCTGCATTTAACAACCTCCCCAGGTGACCCAGATGGCCCCATGACCACTTTGAGAAACCCTAAAAGTCTGAAGGATTTAATTTTATGACACTGGGGAGCGGGGAAATGGCCAGGGATGGGGCGGGGTGGGGGGGAAGAATAGATTTTAAAGACACCGGAAACACTCATTTCAGGTCGGTAAAAGCGGCCGTCCAGATGTGGCCTTCCAGTCCCCTCCCCCAGCAGCAGCTGTGAAAAGGGTCAGGGGTCACCGCCAGCCCAGGTCCCTCCCAACAATCCAAGAAGTCACTGAAGCTTTATCATCATCTAAAGTATTTGTTTAATAACAACAACCAAAAAAGAAAACACCCCACAGAACTATTGTAAAACAATATTCTCAGTCGGTGATCATTGTAATATACAATACAAAGCAATTAATTTCCTCAGAAATCTGAGAAGCACCAAACGTGACCATTTTTTAAATGTCCGCTTTTCAAAAAATAGAAACACACGAGGGGAGACTCCCCCAAGTCTCTGGTGGCTGGTGGGTGAGGAGGGAGGGTCAGCCTGCCCTGTCAGTCCCCCAGACCCGGGTTGGATCCTGCAAGCGCCCCGGTGGCCGCCGATCGGTCTTGTTCCTCCCCAGCTCCGGCGAGGCGCCTGGAAGGACCAGAAACACTTATTCCTCTCGCCCCCTGGGGGGCTGGGGTCTGCCGGCTCCCAAGGGCGGCGCTTCAGCGACACAAGATGCGATCGTCAGCTGGAACACACGCCGCCTGTGAAAAAGAGAGACAAGAGTTGTTTTTTAACCATCTGCTTGGGCATCCTTGAGCACCTAGGTGCTCGAAAGGACGGGGCGAATACAGGGTCAAGCACCCCCTCCCGCTGAGCCTCAAGTGTCCCCTTCCGTAAAAGAAAAGTGATTACTCCAACTCGGACCTCACCTCTGCCGCCAGGGCGCCGATTTCGCCGTTGAGAGTGCTGAGCGGAGCCCGGGCGGGGAGTCCCCGGCCCCCGGGGGTCCCGACGTGGGATTCCGAGTTGAGCTCCAATTCCAGATCCCAGATGTAGTCGATGACGTGCTGGAGAATCTCCACCCTGCTCACCTTGCGGTTCTGGGGCAGGGTGGGCACCAGCTCCTTGAGGCGCGAGTAGCAGCCGTTCATATCGTACAGTAGCACGTTCACCGGCTGCTCCTCCAGCAGGGCCGGCAGGCGCGTCCCGGGGCCGCCCGCGCAGCGCGAGATGGCCACGCTCTGCTCGGACAGGCAGCGCACCACCTCGCCCGCCCCGCCCGCCGCCTTGCCGGCCTTCAGCGCGCAGCTGGGGCCCGCGGCGGCCGCGGCGCTGCCACTGGCGACCTTCATGATACCGGCGTCGGGAGAAAACGAAGCGGACGGAGGAGGAAGAGGACGCCGGGAGTGGGGAAAAAGTTGCGAACCCAAGAAAGACGGCAGTGCAAAAGCGCTACTCAAGTACCCCTACCCGACTTTTATAAAGATGCTGCGCGCCTCCCCGCCCCTTCCTTGGGGGGCGGGCTCAGATGTTCAAAAACAGCCAATGGAAGCCATAGGGGAGAGGCCTGGAGGGCTTCTGGGTCCCGCCTCCTGCTCTCCTAGAGCACCCTCACCCGCGTGGAAAAGCGACTCGAGTCGCAAGACAAGAGAGAGTGGGAGGTGGGGGACAAGATGGCTAGTGGAGCCGAGGGCTGCCCAGAAGGCGAAACCGGTTATTACTATCACGAAAAGATTCTAAGAGTCAGTTTTCTCAGGGATATGTTCTCATTTCTCCAGTCCCATTTTACAGATGAGGGAAACTGAGGTTCCGATGGAGAAGCAGCGTGGGCTTCTGGACCCTACTGGAAGATTACCTCTGGGACTCTGATCTTCCCAATATTTGAGCTGATATTTAAAGCTGATATTAAAGCTGCCCCCCCCCCCGGGGGGGGGGGGGCGTTCTCCTTTCCCAATTCCCAGAGAACGCTGCTGATCACTGTTCCTGAGACCGGGCAGTCTTACCCAGGCCCCTCAGGATGGGAGCAACTAATTCTGGAAAATCTTCCTCCACGACTGGGGGCTTGGGCCCCTGGGACCTGAGCAAGAAAAAGGCACCCAGAGCGGGCTGTCTTCCCTGATTTCTCCCCTGAATTTGCAGCCCCAAATCTGCTTCATTAAGTAATTAAATTTTTTTTTCTCCCTTTTTGGCTTTTTTCCCCCCAAAGACTGCTGGGATCAGGGTCTCCCTCCCACGGCGCGGCAGCTGCGGAGCTCTCGTCGTCCCCCTCCCACCCTCCCCCAACCCCCCACTCCCAGGGCTGCTCTGTGTCAGCGTCTGAACAAGCTGCTCAGACCGTTAGACGCCAGGCCCGTGACGTCACCCATTCATAAAACCCGGACGGGCTGTCAGGCTGGCGCCGTGAGGGCGGTTGCCATGGAGACGGCAAACCGGGCCTCAGCTCTCCCTAGCTACCCCCAGCCCGGCCAGTCACCTGCAGACCTAGGGTGGAAAGCCTGGGAATGCACTCCTCGCGGGCGCGGTCGCTGAGCAAGGGTCACCTTACCTCCCGGCCCCACACCTGGGAATCCCTCCACCAGGTCCACAGCGCGGGCCGCTTGAGAGGTTTCTTCACCGCCCCCCTCCCCACCTCTCTAGTTCCCCGCTCCCGCCTGGGGAAAGACTTCGGATTCCAACTTTGCTGCTGGGTGAATTTAGCTGAGTAACGCTCTCGGGCTCTCTCTGAGCCCTAAAGTCTGCCTGGTATTTCGGGAATGATAAAGGTGATGAATTATTCCGTTCGTAAGAATAATATTCCTTTCCAGCCAGGCACTATGTGAAGAGTTTGCTTCATCAACCTTACCCGATCCCGGCATCTTTATGTTGTTGTTGCTAAGTCGTGTCGGATTCTTTGTGACCCCATGAGCTGTAGCCCGCCAGGCTCCTCTGCCCATGGGGTTTCTCAGGCAAGAATACTGGAGAGGATTGCCATTTCCTTCTCCAGGGGATCTTCCCCATCCAGGGATGGAACTGGGGGTCTCCTGCATGACAGACGGATTCTTTATGGCTGAGCCACCAGAAACACCTTTGGTTTCTTTATACAAAGAAGGAAACTGATGCTCAAAAAGCTTTCCAGGAGCCTGAGTTGTAATGGCCGCATTATGATAATAAGGGCACTTGATTGCCATGCAGTGCCTTCCTGCCAGGGTAGGCAGTCGGCCTCAAGAACCCTGAGTAGGCTAGGAGAGGAGAAACTGAGGCTTAGAATAGCCCGCCTAAGTCACACAGCGTTAGCCAGGCTAAAATTCTGTGCTCACAAAGGAGAGGATGACGTTATGGCCCCTTTTTCCCCTGCAATTAATTCACTAAGTATCAGCAAGTTTCCTTTTCCCACTGTTTTGGGGGAGGGGCTGATAAACAGGCCCCCTGCCTCCACATCTGGAAAGCAGGAAAACTGATCCCTGAGACCAGCTTCAAAGGAGAGAGATCACTAATTAATTAACTGGACTCCTCCATCCACCCCCTTAACACCCTACCACCACCACCAAACTCTCCCAACTCCCTAGGTCTTGTTTGTGTGTGTGTGCTCAGTGATTCAGTCCTAGCCAACTGTTCGTGACCCCATGGGCTGTAGCCCACCAGGCTCCTCTGTCCGTGGGGTTTTCTGGGCAAGAATACTGGACCTGGTTGCCATTTCCTACTCCAGGGCATCTTCCCGACCCAGGGATCTAACTGTGTCTCCTGCATTGGCAGGCAGATTCTTTATCACTGTGCCACCTGGAACCCCCTCTAATGATTGGCAGGAACATTTTGCTGTGCAAAAGAATTGCTAAAGAATTGGAAGGACCAACCAGAGGAAATTAAAATATTTATTCATTACCTATTGTTTATTAATTGATCCAGCAATTCCACTTGCTGGAATCAATTCCAGAGGAACCTACACACAGGGGCACAAAGGATATCTGTTCAACATGTTTCACTGAGGTGCTACTTGCAAGGGGGGAAGTTGAAACAATGCAAATGTCCATCAACATGATATAAATTATGAATGAGGCATCAAGGCAGTGACCTGGCTGTGCAGCAGGTGGGAAGCATGGCTCTGAGACATTTCTAGATCCTACTGTTGGTGGAGAAAGCAATTTTTAGACCGGGGGTCAAGGTAGGACCTCTTACTGATCCCAATTACATGTGGATCTGGAAATGAATTTAAAACAAAAGAGAAGATTATGCTATAGAAAAAAAATTCAAACACAACATTGTGTGATTTCTTTTACATGAAGAATAGAATAGGCAGTTAATCTAGAGGAAAGAAATCTGAATGGTGCCTCTGGGAGTGGAGAGTGAGAGTTGCCAGGAATTTAGGGACTCTTTCTAGAGGAATAGAAATGGTCCCTGGTCATGCAGGTTACAGGTGTTACACAGTGTATGTGTTAGAGGTTACACAGTGTATGAGTTAGTCAAAATACTTTAAGTTATATACTTTTGTCCATTTCATTGTATTTAAACTCCACGTCAATAAAAAAAAATATAAGAAAGTTAAAAAAAGAATACTAGGGTAGACACTATTAAAATTACCTGAGAAGGGAAGGGAAGCAATATGAAATCAAAATTTCACTGTAATCTTCACAGAGATATTTCATCCTTTTTTGAGGAAAACAAACAAACAAACAATGTTTTTTGTTTGTTGTTTGTTTGTGGTGTAGCACTCAGTTTGTGGGATCTTAGTTCCCCAACCAGGGCTTGATCCTGGGCCCTTGGCAGTGAGAGCGCAAGTCTTGACCAGTGGACCTTTAAGGAATTCCCATGCATCATCACCACGTTTAGGAAAATTATATGCTTCATCACCCCTAAAAGTTTTAATCTGCCGCTTGAAATCCCTCCCTCCTGCCTCTTCCACCCAGTGCCCAAGCACTCTATAGATCAGTTTGCATTTTCTAGAATTTTATATACCCAAGTACAGTATATAATGTACACAGTATATACCCTAATTTCTTAAAGCGTTTTCAGCATAGTTTCTTTTTTTTATATATATATTGTAGTGGTTTTTGTCATACACTGACATGAATCAGCCATGGATATACATGTATTCCCCATCCTGATCCCCCCTCCCACCTCCCTCTCCACCAGATCCCTCTGGGTCTTCCCAGCGCACCAGGTCCGAGCACTTTTCTCATGCATCCAACCTGGGCTGGTGATCTGTTTCACTCAGCATAGTTTCTTTAACTTGGCATAATTATTTTGAGAATGTTTATTCCTTCCTATTGCTGAGTAGTAAGTAGGCTGTGGATATACCAAATGCTCCCCTGTTGATGAGCATTTGAGTTGTTTACAGTCTTTTGGGTTCGGCTGCTTCTAGTATAGTTGCGGCAGGCGGGAATCTTCGATGGATTTTTGTTGTATCAGTGCGGTTGTGGACTCTAGTTGGGCAAGGGCTCAGTCCTTGCCGCGAGCTGCTGGCCTTGTTGCTCTGAGACATGTAGGATCTTAGTTCTCCAACCAGGGATCCAACTTGTGTTCCCTGCATTGCAAGGCGGATTCTTAACCACTGGACCACCAGGGTTTACAGTTTTCGGTTTTCAGTTAGTACAAATAAAGTGGCAATGAACTCTTATATACATGTATTTCTATGAATCGATGCTTTCATTTCTTCTAGGTAGACACTTAGTAGTGAAATGACTGGGTTACATAGAAGATATTTATTTAACTTCTTAAACTGCTGGGAATTCCTTGGCAGTCCAGTGATTAGGACTCCGCAGTTTTACTGCTGAGGGCATGAGTTCAGTCCCTGGTCCAGGAACTAAGATTCTGCAAGCCTTGCAGCCAAAAAAAGAAAAGAAAAGACACTGCTAAACTCTTTTCCACAGTTGTTGCATCATTTTACATTCCCATCAGTATCCCATTCCATTCATTTTCCCTCCATGTCTTCTCTAACAGTTGTATGCTTGTCCAAGAGAATGCTAATAAAAGCTAAAAGCCATTCCAAAAGATAAGTTGTGGTGTCTCACTGTGGTATTAATTTGTATTTTCCTAATGACTAAAGATATTGAGCATCTTTTCATGTGCCTATATGCTATCCATTATCTCCTTTTATGAAGATATTCATTTCTTTTGCTCATAAAAATAATTTTTAGCTAATTGTAGATTCACATGCAGCTGTAAGAAATAACAGAGATACCTTATATCCTTTACCCAGTTTCCCTAATGGGAAACTTGCCTACCTACAGTACAATATCACAATAAGATTTCACCTGATTTCTGGTGAGATTCAGATTTTACCTGATTTACATGCACTGCAGCCATGAAATTAAAAGATGCTTGCTCCTTGGAAGAAACGTTATGACCAACCTAGATAGCATATTAAAAAGCAGAGACATTACTTTGCCAACAAAAGTCCATCTAGTCAAAGCTATGGTTTTTCCAGTAGTCATGTATGGATGTGACAGTTGGACCATAAAGAAAGTTGAGCACTGAAGAATTGATGCTTTAGAACTAGGATGCTGGAGAAGACTCTTGAGAGTCCGTTGAACTGCAAGGACAGCCAACCAGTCAGTCCTGAATATTCATTGTAAGGACTGATGCTGAAGCTGAAACTCCAATACTTTGGCCACCTCATGCGAAGAGGACTCTTTGGAAAAGACCCTGATGCTGGGAAAGATTGAAAGCCAGAGGAGAAGGGGATGACAGAGGATGAGGTGGTTGGATGGCATCACCGACTCAATGGACATGAGTTTGAGTAAGCTCCCAGAGTTGCTGATGGACAGGGAAGCCTGGTGTACTGCAGTCCA